ATTTTCCTGGCAAATTTGATAAGTATAGATTAACAATCTGGATAATTGAGCTTTCAAAATTCTGTTTTCCCCTACTTTACTATAGTATAGATTTTATTTCATTGTTAAGGCCCCTCTACCAAGAAGTTATTCTATAGGGAAAACGTACTTTACAGTAATTAAATGTATATCCTCGGATTATAATTTTTTCATATTTCACAATTTTGGAGCAACATAAGTTGCAATCTAATACTTATTGAGATATTTTGTTCAGGGTTTCATGATCTATAGCATTATAGAGAAAATGATGTATAACTCTCTAGGAGATGAAGGCCAGTCAAGTTTTTTTAATACCAATGTGAACACTGAGGTTGTTTGGTGGTTTCGTTTTTTTTTTTTTTTTTTTTTTTAGTTGGAGTCTCACTCTGTCCTCCAGACTGGAGTGCAGTGGCCACTCCCGGCCACCGCATCCTCGACCTGCTGGGCTCCGGCCATCCTTCCACCTCAGCCTTCCGAGTAGCCGGAATTACAGGCACGCACTACCATGCCCGGCTGATTTTTTCATTTATTGTAGAGGCGAGGTCTCACAAGTTACCCAGGCAGGTCTCGAACCCGTGGGCTCAGGCAACCCACTCACCTCAGCCTCCCAAAGCGTGGGATTACAGGCTGAGCCACCGAGCCCGGCTGGTGGTTTCAACTTAAAACTGCAATTAACCTCACTGTACACAATTTTCTAAACAATCTATAATTCTGTGAACACTTAAATCATAAAGTCTAATATTTGTTCTGGGCTTCTGTTGCTCATAGCAACAAAATGTATCTTGCTGTGCTATGTTGTGCATTAAAGAACTACTCAACTTCAGCCTCCAAATACAGGTTCTGGCAGTTAGATCTAGTTGCTCGTCAAACGTTCACATTTCCTAGCTTCAAAAGGAGACAAAGACCCTTAAGAAATGTTTTCAGACAGCAAGAAATCAGTAACTTGAATGCATTCTGCCATTAACATGTGAAGGTGTTAAGAGGACACCGTACACAAATCCGCCTTTTTTCATACTCTAACTGGAAATAATCAACCAAACGTACCTTTTAGAAACCAAAAAGTTTTATGCATCCAAAACACTCTTCTTTCTAAGAAGAAACTAGAATGTTTTACAAACCATTGCAAGAATCACACACAGGGTAAAATGCAGAAGAACCAGGGATGAGCCACAACACAGTCGCCTGTGAAGGGGCCGGGTAGAAGAGTGGGAAGGATTGTGCCTTTGACAAGTCCATACATCCCAGTTTCCCCAAGTTATGAGGCACATCTGCGTCCCCAGGGACGGCTACTGCGCAGAACACCCGCTCGTAACAAAGGCGCTGGGTCGACAGCTCAGTGTCTGAGGATCTGGCTCACAGAGAAGAGCGCCACTTGCTGAATCCCAACCTCATCTCTTTGGTTTTGAGGTAAGGTGCTTGCTTTTTCATCTGAAGCTTTGCCCGGCCCACCCAGACCAATTTGGAAGGGATGGGACTGCCGCTGAAAAGGCCTGGCAGAAGCCACACAGCCCAGAGGCAAGATGAGAGGCTGACTTGTGACCTTGGCAGGAGCAGGCGCAGGACAGGAGGTGGAACACAACTGGGTCTTGGCTGGCGCCCCTCCTCAGAGGAGACTACAGAGCCTGAATGCTCGATGTACGCCCAACAGCCGTGGCTCTGTCTCCGCATGGTGACTGTAAAAACGTCCAAGCGCTGCTAGATTGACTCTTACTGCATCAACGTGGTGGAAATTGTAGCACCAGAAAGAGTCAACACACATCCCAGGAGACAGAAGCACGTTTAGGACTGGATGAAGCACTAAGACTTCAGTCCTGTGAAGGCTTCTGCCCCGCTGAGGACAAAACTGGAAAACTCTGCTTCTTTCAGAGCATTGTATGTTTCTGATGGTACAAAATCCACAGATGGGGAGGCTTAACACCCATTTGCCAAGAGAAAGGCCAGAATTCTCTGAATTCTAACTTGTAGGGAATTTTCTAAGAATGAGATGACAGCTTAGTTTTCAGGCCCGCTGTCCTTTAGCTGGTCTCCTCTCGGTATGTTCACCTACGTACCCTATTCGTTTCAGAGAAACACCTGGAGAAAGCAGCTTCTGCTTCCTCGTTTGTGACAACACGGGGCTTCCTGTCACGGCAGAGTCACCCGTTCTCCAGTGTAGGCTCTTGAGATGAACAGCCCCTCCAGTGACCATCTGACAGGGTCACCACAACTACTCGCTTACATGCTCTTCAGTCTCCACGAGCATAAGACACGGCGGAAGAGCGAACCTCAAGGCACTCACTGAGCAGATCAAGGCGGACAAAGGAAAGGACAGAGTCTGAAAGCCGCCTGACGAGAGCTCTTTGCGGTCAGTTACGAGGGAACCATCCCGCTGGTGCTGCTCATAGTGACGGCAGAAGCAGCATGGTCTGTGTCTCCTTTCCGTCCCCGACCACCCTCACAATCCGAGAGCAGCTGAGCCGAGGCCCCTGCAGAAGCCACAGGGAGTCGGCCCCTCATAAGGTGACAGGAGCAAGAGTTGGAAACTCCTCTTCCTCTCTCTACTGCAGCATCAAGGTCATCCAAAATGGCTATTGATTTACCGTCCCGGGAAATATTTAAAATGCTACCATGGCAGATTCCCAAAGCGTGACATCACCTCTTGAGCTGACAACAGCTTGGAAGAAAAAAAGGACAAGAACCAAGTAGAAGAGAAAGTCCCAAGTGGTCGTTGTTTTGGGGCTGCGCGGTTACCTAGGACACCTCATCCACTCCCCTGATCCAACAGCACCTCCATGCTGACAACACCCAAACCTGTATGTCAACACAGACCTTTCCTCTAAGCTCCAGCTACTTAGTGGGCACCTTCTCCTGAATTCCCCTTGGGCAATTCGAACTAAGTAGGTCTACTTTTGAACTCAGCGCCTCTCCTCAGAACTACCTTTGTCTTCCTTCCCCTTCATCCGCCTTGCCATCCACACCAGAAACCGAAAAGCCACGGGCTGTCCCTCCATTTCACTCCGAAATCAATCAGTCGCTGTCCTCCCACAGTTCTTCCCAGTTCTGATCATCACTTGCTTGGACTACTGCAGCGGCCTTCTGCCTGGTCTCTCGCCACCGGGCTAGGCCGCCTCACTTCCACTCTCTGCACAGCTGCCGGAGTGACCCTTGTCCAAGCCGGATCTAAAACTCTTCACAGCTCTCCACTGCTTGTAGTCAGGCGGCTTGGCAGACAAGGCCCTCCGAGGAGACAGTCGGTCTGCCTCTCCCGGCTTCTCCCTCTCCCCTTCCACCTTGCGTTTCCTCGCACTCTGCACGCCAGCGTCAGCGAAGTGCTCATAATCCTAGAGATGCGCCCAGTAGCCTTCTGTATCCACATCTTGCATGCCCGAAGGCCTAGAGCCTCCATACCTTCCTCTCGGTTCCTTCCGCTCCCTGACTGCTTGCTGAGCTCCTTTCTCCACACCACCTGAAATCCTCCCGGTAGGTCACCTCCCCAGTCCTGGACACGTTCAACCCCTTCCTTTCCTGTATTACTTCCTGTGTCATGTGACTTTTTCTCCTTTCCTATATGCCGTGCGTAGACGCAGAATACAGAAGCAGCACATCAAAGCCTTACACGTGATCGCCAATGCGTGCTTACTTCTGCCTCCCCAGAATTGTGGCCCTTTAAGGACAGAGACCATTTGATATTCAGTCTCATGACCTAACATGGTACCTGGCACACGGCATGCTCAATATTCTAATTTGAACAGAATTCCAAATGTATGTAACTGCCTCTCAAAAAATTAAGAGCCACTATACCCAAACTTATTTATCCTGCAAAAATCACATAAGGTGATCATCTCAACATGAGTAAATCTTTGTCATGCAATCAATTTGAAATTGGGCGGTTGAAATGCCATTTTCTCTGTAAGTCTATTTCAGCACTTTTACAAATCCAAAGGTCTTCATTCAGAAAAGATCTGAAAAACTATTTGTACAGCTCAAAACACCTCAGTTGCTTGGTAGTATTAGATCCTTTCTATGGGGACAGTTATAGTAAGATAGTAAGTTATAACTGGCCAATGGCTATGGTGTATACACACACACACACACACACACACTTTACATCCATGTCCTGTCTACTCTCCCAAGGACACAGGAGTGGGATCTGTGCCTTTCATACTGGTCTTCCTATACCATTCTCCACCCACTGCATGGTCAACAGATATGCAGTCCTGTTTCCGATAATAATGGTGAGGCGGGCAGGGAACCCGCATTCGTGAAAAGAACACCAGCCAGGAACTTGGACCCCTAACTAGCTGTGGTGAGATGTAAAAAGAAAAGCCCCCATCCTAACATATATATTAATGAGAAGTAACATGTGTCAGACATCGATTTTGGCACTTGATATATAGCATCTACTAAATCCTCACAAAAACCCAATGAGATGGGATCATCACTGTTTCTACTTGACAGGTAAGGGAACCAACTCAGAATAACTTGCCCAAGGACACAGAGCTAGTAAGTGGTACAGTCAGAATTTGTGCCCAAGTTAAAAGCCCACATTCTCAACTAGTATTCTATAATGCAAGGTTTCGTATGTCACATTCAAAAGAAGAAATGCAAACACTGATCATCAAAATTGCATATATCTATTCTCACTGATTTTCAATCAACTGAACAAAAGAAGAAAACTCTATGGCTTTGTACAGCAAAAGCAGTGATTTAGAGCTCAGGTCTGAATCAAGGCTGCCCGAGTCCAGCCCAACCTCTACCGGTTTTGTCTGTTACTGACTCCCTCAGAACTCTTTTTTTGCGTCTGTGAAGCAAAGAGCATTTGCTATATTTTACAGGGTGAATGTGACGATTCCATGAGACAGTACATGTCAATGACTCAATAACAGCAAATTAATACGTAATTATTAATATTGACATGTGCAAATTATTTAGTAAACACCATGCTTGTAAATTAGCAGCAATGAAAGCCAACCAAAAAAGGCAAAGCAGAAAGCATTACTTACAGAAGCCAGCAGCCTTCCGTCCTCCTTCATGGCAAGGTAACGGTTCGCACACACGCCCTTGATAGACACAACGCCTCGCTCTTCTGCTTGAAGTTGTAGTTTGACTGTAGCCAAGGAAAAAGGACCTTAGTAGCGCCACGGGGAAACATTTGTTCAAAAGAAAGACATAGGACACCCGAGGAACAACGAACCCAGGTGGAAGAACTGGCCGGGCGGGCTGCAAGGTCGGGGTCGGGGACAGACGCCACCTAGACTGTGCCGGGGAGGCCACGCAGCCACGCCAGAGCACTGGTGTGCCCCCCCCGGCCTACGAGGCCCTCCTGGCACAGCGCGAGCAGAGCGGGGGACACATGCAGACCCGTTTCCTTCCTAAGCAACGAGCCTTCACTTGACCCTGTTAACTGTCTAAGTGAACATATTTTAAGGCGACACAAAATGCAAACCATGTGTGAGAATTCTCATGTTACTGCCCAAGAGTCAGCTCTTCAGAAGTCATTTTCAGTTCTTCGCAAACCAACTACAATCTAATTGCTTGCTATTTGGGGCTGTGTTTCCTTGATGGCTGCACATTTCACGTCTAGCTTCCCCTTCAATACAGTACCAGTGCGCTTATCTTTCTTTATGGAGAGATTTTGATGAGTAGGGCTTTTTATGGCAAATATCTATGTAATGGAAAAATAAAATACTTCATTTGCTTATAGAGTATGATGAAAGATTTCCATCAAATAAGATTCTGATGAGGATAACCTATCTGTTATACAACATTACCAATATTAAGCAAGTTGCAGGAAAACAAAAAATTGATATTAGGCCATTATTATGATAATACAATGTGGATAATTACTTAATTAATTAAAATTAAAATGAGGTTAACTATTTCTATTCAGAAGCAGCATTCTCTTACCTAGAACAACATTCCCCAGAATGTATTTTGGCTAGCAGATATTACATAAAAGACAAGTTCTGGGGTCAAGTAAGTTTAGGAAATTCTTGGTTAAGCCAAGTTAATTCTTTGTTGCCAAACTTCTCAGAACTTTGCTGATCACTCCAGCATTGTGAACCCCTTTAAAGGAATCCAGTATAGGGTACATAAAATGTATCTGGCCCCAAAACAACCTTTTTTGCGGAACATTCTATAACCTATGGGTATGTCTAGGACATTATTGAGAATAACAGAAAAAATTTAAAATTTTAGAAATCAGCATATTATTTGAATAACATTAGAAACACAAATTTAATTCTCCCAGTTGTTTTCAGGTAGCTTGGAAAACAAGTCACAAAAAAGGAACTTTTGAAAGTTTCTAAAGTAATTATCAAATTTCTTATATATGATTATGTCACAGTAATTATGTTTAAAATTTTGTTCCTATCAGGGGAGTAACATATAGGTTAAAATGAAACATGATATCCAGGATTAGCTTTAAAATACTCTGAGGTCAGGCACGGTGGCTCAAGCCTATAATCCCAGCACTTTAGGAGGCCGAGGCAAGAGGATTGCCTGAGTTCAGGGGTTCGAGACTGGCCTGGGCGAATTGGCGAGACCTCATCTCTACAATAAATCCAAAAACAAGCCAGGCATGCTGCAGCTCCAGCTACTTGGAGGTGAACGATTGCCGGAGTCCAGCAGGTCAACGCTGGGGTAGCCACGAGCGTGCTACTGCACTCCAGCCTGGGCAACAGAGTGAGACTCCGACTCAAAAAAAATAAAATAAATACTTTGGCACTAAATAAATAAATATTTTATAAAGCAGGGAGGACACATAAAACAAGAGTGACTTGTGTAATCGTTAATAGAGGCACAGGTTATAATATTCTATTCTCATTACTTGTATGAATGGTTTTGAGAATTTATATTGAAAACCCAGAAAATCCTAGAATTTTTGTTGTCCGATTCCCCTCTATTTACCAATAACCCTGGATTCCAAACAGCAAAGCATCAGTTAAGCAGTTACTGGAGAAATTCTTCTACAAAATCTTAAAAGATTTTTAACACAAAGTAGAGGAATGTAGTCCAGGTAGGACACCTGAGCAAAGAAGAGCACAGAGTCCTTTACACAATCTTACTGGCACGTGCACAAAACAAGTTTTGTCCTTACCAACGTAGCCACGGTTGCTGTCATGCAATTTACCTTAATGCCATCGCTACATACCGCTCCCAAGTGATTTAGAGAAGCCACTTAATAGTTAAGAATGCATCGGTATCTCTCTTTAAGCCACAAGGTCGCACGAGTGCTCATGAGGCAAGGCTGCATGATCAGTCACTATCCTTTCTTTCTGTTCTTCATCAGTAAACTGGAGCCCAGCTCCAACCCACCATCCTGCAAGTGTGTTACTGCTCATTTATTTGTGGCCAGGTTAGGGCCAATGACTCAATACCCAAAGTAAATATCACTCATTTACTCATCAATCATTTGCAGATTTCTTGGGTATTCCACAATAGGAGATTGTCATTCATTAAACCACTAAGCAATAAACGTTAATTGTTGATGTTTGAAAAGTGTTTCACTGGCTGGGTGCCATGGCTCACTCCTGTAATCCAAGCACTTTGGGAGGTCCAGGCAGGTGGATTGCTTAAGGCCAGGAGTTCAAGACCAGCTTGGGCAACATAGCAAGACCTCATCTCTACCAAAAAAAAAAAATCAAGAAATTAGCCAGGTGTAGTGGTACACACCTTTAGTCCCAGCTACTTGGGAGCTGAGGCTGGAGGAATGCTTGAGCCCAGGAGGTCAAGGCTGTGGTGAGACATGATCATGCCGCTGCACTCCAGCCTGGACGACAGTGAGCCTCCAGCTTAAAAAAAAAAGTGTTTCATTGGCAAATAATTTTTAAAATATAACCTTTAAAAAGAACCACAGTCTGGAATAAGAATTGAATAAGTCACAAAATCAAAGATTTTCCTTAAAATCCATCAGAGCCGAGATGCAAAGAAACCTAAATAAACTAAATCCCCTATAAAGATGATGTCTTCCCCAAAAAGATGCAGAGCTGCTTTCACCTCTGAAGGAAGAAAAATTAACTTGTCCAAAAAAAGGAGTGTGGAAAAACCAGCCAAATGTTTAAGAGACTTCAGGGCTGCTGGCGTGAAGGGCGAGAAATCTGAGGAGCCCTGATCAAAGATTGGGCTCCACCCTGCTCCCAACACCCCCCCCCCCCCCCCCGTCTTCCCCCAGAGCTCCCACCTGGTGCTCGGCTGGGACAGAAAGGAGCCCTGGGAGAGCGAAGCGGCAGCTCGCTGGCAGCCAGGCGCAGGAAAAGGCTGGGGGACCCTGCCGAGAAGCATGAGCCTTCAGCACGCACAGAGCCGGGGCAGCAGGACAGAGAGTCCCCAGGACACGGAGAGGCGAGCGGAGTTCAAGGGCAAGGCCAACGCCCCACCTCCAGAGTCGGCAGCCGGGGCCAGCGGGCAATGGAATACTTAACCCACAAGGGCAGGAGAGGAGAAACAGGACAAGGGGCGGACAGGATAATGAAACAAGCACACCCAAAGGACAGACTTAAGCTGAGCCATATCAATAACAACACTGAATGTTCAGCACTCAACTGAAAGGAAAAACGGAACAAGTCAACAAGATTTTTAAAAACAACTATGTTGTTTATTATAAAGAGCACAGTAAACAGACACAGGCAAGCCGGAAGTAAAAATGGGGCGGAAAGATGCAGAACACACACCTTAGGCCAAGAAAGCTGGTGTGGCTTTCTTGGCATCTGGCAGTACAGACTTCAAGGCAAGTAGTATCCGCAGAGACAAGCAGAATCATTTCACGACGGGAAGAGGGTCAGGTTCGTTAAGAAGACAGAATAGCCCCAGTGTGTAGCAACTAATCATAGAACTCTAAGATACCCAAAGCAAAACTGACAAAAGAAACAAATCAGTAAGAATACGTACAGAAGATGCGAACAGCATTAACAGCATCATCGATCAATCTTACTTGACATTTTCTTTAGATCAGGTGAGTTTCATTCACCTGAGACTCCATTCTCCTGTGACCACCAGTCATTTGAAAATCATGTTCAAGAAAGTCAGCTCAGCCGGGCTCGGTGGTTCAGCCTGTCATCCCAGTACTTTGGGAGGCCGAGGTGAGCGGATTGCCTGAGCCCATGGGTTCAAGACCAGCCCGGGCAACTTGGTGAGAACTCGTCTCTATGATAAAAAATCAAAACATTAGCCGGGCGTGGTAGCACGCGCCTGTAGTTCCAGCTACTTGGAAGGCTGAGGTGGAAGGATCGCCTGAGTTCAGCAGGTAGATGCTGGGGTGGGAGTGGCCATGAGCGTGTCACTGCACTCCAGACTGGGCGACGGAATGAGACTCCAAATCAAAAAAAAAAAAAAGAGTTCCTAGCCAGGTTGATGCTTGTTATGGTTCGTTTCTGTTTTTTTGATTACAGCCATACTTCTTGGATGTGAAGCAGTATCTCACTGTGATTTTGATTTGCATTTCCCAGTGGTAATGATGTAGGGCATCTTTTCAAGTGCTTACTGATCACTTGTTTATCTTCTCTGGAGAAATGCCTGTTTAGGCTCTTGGTTCGTATTTTAATTCGATTCTTTTTATTATTGAGTTGTAAGAGTTCTTTATAGATTCTTTTTCAGTTGGAGTCTCAGTCGGTCACCCAGGCTGGAGTACAGTGGGGTACTCACGGCCACTGCAGCCTCAAACTGCTGGGCTCAGGTGATCCTTTTTTTTTTTTAATTTATTGTAGAGACAAAGTGTTGCCAAGTTGTCCAGGCTGGTCTCAAACCCATGGGCTCAGGCAATCCTCTCACCTCAGTCTCCCAAAGTGCTAGGATTACAGGCATGAGCCACCGCACCCAGCTAAGAGTTCTTTATATATTCCAGTACATGTCTCTTTTCAGATATATAATGTGTAAATATTTTCTTCCATCCTGCAGAGTGTCTTTTCATTTTTTGATGTTGTCCTTTGAAGCATAAACATTTTTAATTTTCATGGAGTTCAGTTTATCAATTTTGCTCTTTTGTGTCTGTGCTTTGGTGTCAAATCTGAAAAAGCATTGCCTAATCCAAAGTCATGAAGGTTTACACCTATGCTTTCCTCTACATTTTAGTTTCCTCTTTTCTATTTAGGCTTTAATCTATTTTGAGTTAATT